TCCGTCCATCCGTCCATCCATCCATACGTCCATCCATCCATACGTTCATCCATACGTCCATCCATCCATATGTCCATCCATCCATACGTCCATCCGTCCGTCCATCCATTCGTCCATCCGTCCATCCGTCCATCCATCCATCCGTCCATCCGTCCATCCGTCCATCCGTCCATCCATCCGTCCGTCTGTCCATCCATCCGTCCATCTGTCCCTCCATCCATCTGTCTGTCCGCCCCTCCGTCCATCCTGTCGTCCGTCCATCCATCCGCCCGTCCGTCTGTCTGTCCCCGCCATCCGTCCCTTGCTCTGTGTGTCCGTCCCTTGCTCCGTCCCTTCGTCCCTCGCTCCATCCGTCCATCCATCGCTCTGTCCGTCGCTTGGTCCATCCGTCCCTCGGTCCGTCCGTCCCTCCATACCTCCATCCCTCCATCCCTCCATCCATCCGTCCCTCCATTCATCCGTCCCTCCATCCATTTGTCCCTCCATCCATCTGTCCCTCCATCCCTCCGTCATCCCATCCATCCCACCCTCCGTCCCACCGTTCATCCCTGCATCCGTCCCGGCCGTCCGTCCCTCCATACATCCCTCCCGCCGCTCCTCCCTCCATCCATACATCCCTCCCTCCGTCCATCCCTCACTACGTCCGTCCCTCCGTCCCTCCATCCCTCCATCCGTCCATCCGTCCCTCCATCCCTCCGTCCCTCCGTCCCTCCGTCCCTCCGTCCCTCCATCCGTCCCTCCATCCGTCCCTCCATCCGTCCCTCCGTCGGTCTGTCCCTCTGTCCCTCCATTCGTCCACCCATCTGTGTCCCTCGATCCCTCTGTCGCTCTGTTCCTCCCTCCATCCCTCTGTTCCTCCCTCCCTCCCTCCGCCTCTCCCTCCCTCCCTCCCTCTCTCCGCCCGTCCGTCGCTCACTCCGTCCGTCCCTCCATCCCTCCATCCGTCCCTCCATCCCTCCACTCCGTCCGTCCCTCCATCCTTCCGTCCCTCCATTCGTCCCTCTGTCGGTCTGTCCCTCCGTCCCTCCGTCCCTCCGTCCCTCTGTCCCTCCGTCCCTCCATCCGCCCGCCCATCTGTCTCCCTCCATCCCTCTGTTGCTCCGTTCCTCCCTCCATCCCTCTGTCCCTCCATCCCTCTGTCCCTCCATCGCTCCCTCCCTCCCTCTCTCCACCCGTCCATCGCTCCCTCCCTCCCTCCATCCATCCATCCGTCCGCCCATCCATCCCTCCCTCCATCTGGTCGTCCCTCCCTCCCTCCCTCCGTTCGTCCGCCCTCCCTCCCTACGTCCCTCCCTCCCTCCCTCCATCCCATCCCATCCCATCCCATCTAATCCATCCATCCAATCCAATCCAATCCATCGATCCATCCATCGAATCCAATCTAACCAATAAATCAATCAATCAATCAATCAATCCATCCATCCATCCATCCATCCATCCATCCATCCATCAATCCATCAATCCATCCATCAATCAATCGATCAGCCCCTACCCGATTCACCCAAACTAAAACATTTCTCCTCCGCCTCATCCAAGACGAATATGATCACATCAGAAATCCCACCATCAGCCGCCCACAATACAGATACATATCATGACAGCCCACCAAAGGCAATCCTTTATTGCAACCTGCCTCCAATGTCAAGAACCTCTTCGTCCACACGCCCAACCTGAGACGGATCTTCTTTGGTGGCGCCCACCCGAAACCATGGGGCTCAACATGAGCAACAGCCCTCATCCACGACATTCTTGCCTCGTGCCACACACTTCGCACCCGCCCTGCAACTGGGAATATCTTGACGACCTCATTCACCTCTATCACCGCGAAGCCCAGCGTCACCTCCTGGCATATCATGTCTACAGGGCTGATACTGTGCAACGTGCTGTGTGTCAACTCCAAGCCCAAACAGACTTTGAGCGTCGCTGCTAACTGTACTTTGCTAAAGTGGTTGCCGATTGGACTTCCTCAACACCAAGAATGGACACGACAAACAGACCCGCACGAAGACAACCTTCAAACGGCGACAACGACATGTCATCAACATGCAATCAACGATTGACTTTCCTCGATGCCAAGAAGCATAGCCGCCACGAGTCTTCTTTGACACAGGCGAAGACCTCGCTGCACCCTCAAATGGACAGAGCAAAGCGAACAGACAAAGAGAGCTTGAGAGACACAGAAAACAGAGACAAAGAGAGCGCGAGAAAGAAAGAGAGACAGAGCAGTGAGGGTGGGCACAGATATCAAACACGCAATTCGGTTGTTCCTGTCATACTGCAAAATATGTTTTCTGTTGTTGCATTTGTGCTGCGTATCCGCGTATCCGCCTGTGCGCCGTGAGCGTAGCCGCAGCAGGTCTGCTCGTTTTTCTAAAAAAAAAGAAAACAACTTTCTGACTGACTCATATGGTTCCACTTTTGTAAACCGTGCCATGGTTGTAGTAGTCAAGAAACTCGGCTGTTGAGGCTGAGGGCACTTGTTCGAATCTGCACATGCACGGAGGAGGTCTGAGGCTGGCCCAGCTATCGGCCGCGGAAGAAAATAGAGTAGAAATGTTTCTAGTCGGATGAATTTGGGCGCTCCTGTACTAGCCCATACGTTTCCTAAAACCGTGGCATGTTAACGGGCACGACTCTAGGAAGTACTGGTGGGTTAAGGGGGGAGCCCGGGACACCTAACATAAGTGCATCTGGCCAATATAATTCCTCAGGATTCAAACCATGGTTGTCCCGAACCCAGACATCCAGACACCGGACACCGGGCCCGTACCTGTGTCTGGATTAGTCCGGACGCCGATCCGAACAACCGGACATACGGACCCGGATGGTCCGGTTATGAATAAACAGGTCCGGATGTCCGGATAAAAAAAACAACAAACAAACAAAGAAAAAAATTAAAAAAAACAAAAACAACAACAACAACAACAACAACAACAACAACAAACAGAAAAAAAAACAAACAAACAAAAAAAAAAAAAGTGACAGACACACGCTGCTCTAGTTGTATTATCTGACTTATCTTGAACACACACACACACATCCAGTTCTCCTTGGCCCGCTGAATCTCACCCAAGATTGCAAGTACAGGCCCTTCAGGCCCGGTCCAGTTGGCCTAATGGTCCACCAAAAACAGCGCCAACGATGTTAGGGCATCCACCAGGCACTGGAAAATTGCCTGGGGACCCCCAAAAAAGTTCGAATTTTCTAGAAATGGGGGCCAACCGGACCCCCCAAACCGGACACCGGATGCGGACATCCGGACTGGACCGTCTGGATCCCGATCCGGACGTCCGGTTAACAACCATGATTCGAACTAATGTGCTGATTATCCACAGTTACGTGTGCATAACCTTTCGGGCACACAATTGCGATACCCATCATACCAAATTCAATTTCACATTTTCAGTCTTTTCACTCCTTTTTCATCCATCAATAGGACAAATGCAATGCTTGTGTCTTGTACCAGAATCAACATAGTCCAAATTTAAAAGCTTATCAACCAAATCCGGTCTTCTGTTCAAAAATACTGCAATTTGCAACAACTAGCATGCAGCTTCGATCAACCAGGAGACTAATCTGGAGTCCATATGACAGATGGGTGATCGTCTTTTTCATTTGTTCTTTTTTCTTTCCACTTTTTGCTTTTTTGAGGGTGGAAAACAGAAGCTTCGTCTCTGCTTTGGGAAACATGACCCGTGTCAAATCATGAGAAATGTGACCACCATCTTACCGCCCTCTGATCTATCTGAGTTGGCATTTGTGCAACTGCACCAAGGGCCATTGCAAGCATGCCTAAAAAGGCAATTGACCGCTTTAGGTCCATGTCAGTGTTCATGAATCCTTCTGGAATTTGATAGAAGACCGTGCCTGTGAAGACTCCCAATACGATGACCTTCAGAACCGCACCGCAGGCGAGCACGTGGAATGGCAAAAGCATGACCAGCAAACAAACAAAACCACACCAAACAAACAAGAGGACAATCAAATTAACAACGAAAGAAAACCTATCCAGCAACTGACAGAGTGACAGAAATCATGACACAGTCAGCCACAAAAGGTGTGTGGACTCCGGAGGTGTGAAAACTGCTCAAGAAAAACCAACACTATCAGCACAGTGCTCAGGAAGAGTGATGGTTTGATAGGGGAATATGGATGCCCATGACTTACACAATGTTGCACCCACTATGAGCTATAGGCTCTTTACTGACTGTACCACCAAGACTCATGTTCAAGAGTCACAACCCCTGAATAGCTAAGTTGGCATGACGGAACATAGAGGGACCGACTGTTACGGACTCCGCCAGGGCTCAATCCCTGGTCTGCGGATTACCATCCACCAGCTTGCTGTATTTTTTTTTGTTCTTCTAGTTATGCGAGGATCTGGGTCCTTGGCAGGCCTAAGTCGCCTCTGCTGCAGATGTGCCCGCCCTAAGTGAAGGCGGGCCTAACAAATCACGAGAGGGCCTCAGCTGTCAATTTCGTATTTGGGGTCCAGGCAGATTCAACGCGCCAGTTGGTTGAGGGAAACACAGGCCGAGCAGCAAGACATTCCACGGCCTTCCAGGCCTTTCCAAAAATGCAGGCCCTGGATGAGAATCGCAGCCTCATAGACAGGCAGTTGGGAGGCCCAACCGAACGGAGGCCCAGCAGCAGCATCGGAGGCACAGCCTCCTGGGGCCTACCGGAAGCTTCTGGGCAGAGGCCCAGGCCAGCCAGGCCGCTGAGAGAGGCAGGGTCTTTCCATATAGGAAAGAGCTCGCTGCCTGGCCAGGGGGGTGCACTTGCATGCTGGCGGCAGCGCTGCTGGCGCGAACGCTCGTAGGCTGCTGCTGGCGCTGAGAGGCAAGGTGCTAGCGCGTGCGGTCGTGCGGGAAGCAGGGTGCTGCTGAGGGCAGCGCCATAGCCCACCCTCCATAGCTGGATGGGCTTGGACTACAGTGAGGCGCAGGGGTGGTCTTCGGGTGTACAGAGGGAAGACGTGGGAGTAGGACAGCGGAGAGGGAGAGAGAAGGATGATGATGATGATGTGAGGGCACATACCTGGTATTGGAGATGTTCTGCATTTGGCGGCATCTTCAAGTACTTCGTGGGCTGCTGACGTCAACAGTTGCATTGTCAATTAGTAGGCAGACAGTATCTGTGTAGGAAGAAGGCTGGGCGCCGAGCGCCAAGTAGGGAGATAGGGCCTGGACACTCATGTTGGTGGTGGTGAGAGCAAGCTCTCATTGACATTGGTTTCCAGTGTTACGATTCTTCATTGGCGTTATATTGGTGCATTTCTGCTTTCTGGACACTGTGATACTATCTGGCCTTCAATGTGATTGTGCATTCTGGATATTGTCATCTCGCTATCGCTCATTTTCCCTGCAGTTTTTGCAATTCTTTTTTTTTTTTTTTTTTTTTTTTTTTAACAGGTCCTTATGGTCCTGGCTCCATTCCCATTCTGGGGAGCGTCAGTCCGGTTCCTATTCCCCCGGCAAGTCAAGAAAAACCGGATTACATCATATTACCCACTCAACGCTTCTTTCCGTCTGGCCGAAGGACCCCTGATCAGCATTGATTGCTCCTTCTAAGGAGGATTGACTGTCAGCTCGCCCTGACCCTTCATTCCTCTCAGGCTTCTTCTATTCAGAGCCTGTCGAATGAGTTCCTGTAATACGAGAACAGTGGGGGGTCCACTCTGTGTTCTGTTGCTCGTCCTTGTCCTTTCCTGTGTGTCCGGTCCCCTTTTTGTTGATCCCCATTCAGAACCTTCTGCCAGGTCGCCCGGCAGGCACCCTCGTGGTCATCATGATTAACCCTGGTGCCATTTCTTCCACCTCAGTCTGTTGTCTACTATCGTTGCCACCTTGCCCTTTAGCAGCCAGTTTCTTATGAATGTCCGTTTCTTGATCGCTTGTCCTTCTGGTCTGTGTCTCAGCAGTAGTGACCACATTTCTTCTCTTGCCACCTCTGTTCCCTCGATTGTCTGAGAGCATCTGCGTTTCCATATCACCCACAATGCCAGCTTCCTGAGTAGGGTGAACCATGCTTCCCTGCTGCCTGTGATGTTGCTGGGGATGTTAGTTAGAAGTAGGATAGAGATAGGGGGGATGTTAGAGGGGGGCGCAGCGAACAGGATCGACCATAGCTCGCGCCAGGTTGCTTCAGGGCAGAATAGGAGGCAGTGGGGGATGTCTTTGGGTGAGTCGTTGCTGCACATTGAGCAACATGGCGAGCTATCCGGATCAGAGTGTTTCCTTCTCTCGTGTAACCATTGGTTGACTGTCAGGGCTGCATGTGCTATTAGCCATTGCATGCTTCGGATTCTCATTGGTCTGACGAGGAGGTATTTGGGCCATGTCATGGTGATGGGGGTCGTGGTGTCTAGGTTCAGTATGGTTCTCCATTTCTCTGTCAGCCTTGGGTTCGGGTCCCTGGTTTGTAGTCCGAGGTTATACCCGAACTTTACATCGTACTCTGTTATCGTTCTTGATTTACCTGCGGTGTCCAGATCCCAGATCCATTCCTTTGTGTCAAATTCCAGCTCGTTGATGCTAAGATCCGGCTGGAATATAGACCATGGTATCTTGTGAGAGACTCTAACCTTCCTGAGAAGGTAGGTTTCTATTTGTTCATTCTGTGGTGTTTTGTTTAGGATCTCTAGTTCATATAGGCTGTGTTTAATGATGGGGTAGGATACGAAATTGGTCTGGTAGTTAGTTGAGTCCAGTTTTGACACAAAGCGGTAGGCTTTTGTTGGTGGGGTCTGTGTGGTGAGTAGTCCCCAGTCTCCTGGGATCCACGTATGTGTCCCTTTTAGGAGGGTCTTCCATGGGGGAGGAATGCTTTGGAGGATTTCTGACAGGTTGGTGGTCAGTAGGTGGCACCCTTTTAAGGGAGTGCGAAGGTCCTGCGCGGTGAGCCATTCTTGTCGGTCTTCGGACCACAGATGTTCGACCTGCCATACTCTCTCCACCCATGACAGCCATTTGCGGTCTTTAGCCCGGAGAGTCCACGGTCTGCCCTCTGTGTCTTTGATCCAGGGATTGCAGAACAGGGGTTGTCGTAGGACTTCCTCTTTGTTGCTCGGGGACCCTTTCTTGTCTGGCATCAGTCGGCGCCAGGTCTTTAGGATCGGAGACCAGTAGGGTGTGGGTGTGGTGGGGGGTTGAGTGGGAGTCACTGGGTTTGTTTTCCTTGCTGGTCTCCCCGATTTGATTGTCCACTCCTTTGCCGTGATCCAGAACAGGCCACTCATGTTCGGTTGGGTCGCTACTGGTGCCAGATTCCTTATGCTGTCTCTCGCCATTGTGGTCCACAGGAGGGCTTGTTTGGTTAGGATTTTGATTATCCATTTCATTTGGAGGGCGATTGCTTCTTGTTTAGGGTCGATTATACCTAGCCCTCCTTCCTGTGGTTTCCTGATGACCGTTTGCCAGGCCACCTTGTTTATACAGGTGGTTCTGTTGGGGTCGCCTGTCCATAGATAACACATGGCTCTAGCCTTCAAGTTCTTCAGGTCGTCGTCGGGGGGCCACCATATGGAGGCCATGTACCACAAGGTGGAGAATACTGCTGTGTTGATGATCAGGGCTCTCCCTAGTAGGGAGGCCTGGGCGTTGTTGCAGGTGGCTAAACGGGTTATTGCTTTCGCGAGTAGAGACTCCCCCATCCCTTGCCAGATGCCATCCCTGTTTACCATAATGCCAAGATAGCGAAGTGCTTGATCGCCCGTAGTCCAGGACATTGGGGTGGATGGGTCTGGGGGTTGGGGGGGGTTGCCTTCTGCGAGCCACCACCCTTTCGTTTTCAGCCAGTTGAGGCGAGTCTGAAGGCTTCCATGGCGCGGGCCAAGGCCTGGAAAGAGGAGTTGTTGGCGCGAGTGAGGACCGTGAGATCGTCTGCGAACATCTATGAGGTGGGGAGAGCAAAGTCGTGGAGGGGGTTGTTGTTTTGTTCGGTCACGCGGTCTATGGATGGGTCCTTGCGCAGGAACGATGCGATGGCTTCCATTATGAACAAGAATATTGGGGGTGCGAGGGGGTCGCCTTGCCGGACCGATGTCGATATCGGGTAGGTTTCTGACAATATTTTGTTTATTTGCATCCTGCCCGTGGCATCCCCGTAGAGTACTCTCACCCATTCTCTAAAGTTTGGGCCAACTCCCATCTTCTCCATGCAGTTGTGGAGAAAGTCCCAATTGACTTGATCATACGCCTTTTCAAAGTCGAAGAATAAGATCGCCGCTTGCATTCGTTTTTCTGTGGTCTTCTTGGCCACCTCGTTTAGAGCCATCACATTATCCATAATGTATCGACCCGGGATGAATCCTGCTTGGTCGATGTGAAACCAACTGTCTATTAGTTTTATGATTCTGTTGGCTAATGCCTTTGCTAGGATTTTGTACGGCGTTGTGAGAAGTGAGATTGCTCTGTAGTTCTTGAGGTCCTCCTTGTCTCGCTTTTTGTATATTAGTGACACTACGCTGGTGCTTAGAAATTGACCTAGGCCTCTCTTTTCCCTGCTGTCGTTGATGGAGTTCAAGAGGTCGCTGCCCAGTGTTGGCCAAAATTGGATCCATAATTCTTTGGACAGGCCATCAATTCCTGGGGCTTTGTCATTTCCCATCTGGGATAAGGCTTCGTGAAGTTCCCCTATGGTGATTGGTTTGTCCAAGTCTACTGTTTGTTCTTGGGTAATCGTTCTCTCTAGGTAGGTCATCATATGTTGACGGGCTTTGATGTTTGCTGTTGGGGGGGGAAAGGGGGTTTTGGACTCGTAGAGGTCGGCGTAAAAGGACCTGGCTATTCTTACCATGTCTGTGCCGGCTGTGACTTTGTCGTCCCCTGGTTCGCTGGGTCTTTCAGCCCCTCGATTGTGTTGCTCCTTGTGTTAGCCTTGATCTTGGAA